ATTTCAGTGGTGAGTCATTTCAAGTTTGATTTATTCTGTTTTCTTGTCAGTCTTATTTGGTTCATGTGATAGCCTTTGGCTTTACAGTAAGTTGTCTTGAGACTGAAATTCAGAATTTCGTCCCAAAGCACAGGTGCTCAGTAAAGCTGAGAAAGTATGAGTTGCATGAAGCGTATGTGTGTTAGGGATGTGTTGTTATAGAACAAATGGTATGGTCTGAAGGCAATTATATTTTTCACTCTCAAGATCTCAAGGTAGCAGAACGATAAAAGTTGTTCATAAATGTCTACAATAATATTCAGGTGAAACTATCACTGGACTGTCTTTCATTGGAAGGTTGTGAAATAGCATTGCTGCAAGGTATTAAGAACTAGTTGGACAAGTATTTGTCAGGAGTTGTTTTTGCAGTTCACCCTTCCTTTAGGCAAAGTGGTGCACTAGAAGAATCTGTTGGCAGTCCTTCCCACTGCCTGGGAAGGCTTATTAAGCAGAAGATGAAACTGGAAGAGCTAGTCATGCTCATTCAGTGGCAGCCAAGTGTCTGCTGACGTGTTTGGCCCGTAGTCATAGAGGCTGCAGATTCAGTACAGTTTCCAGGGCTATCAGTAAAAAAATCTCCCATTTATACTATTGCCAGGGGAGCTTGGAATACAGAGACTATAATTCTGCAATACCACTGGGTTGTCTGCATAACCAATGTGATAAACCTCCTCAACATTGTACTGGCTGTAGAAAATCTGGCAGAAACAAGCCCTAAAAAAGATTATGTTAATGCTTGATTGAAAATGCAAATGACATGTTTGATGTTAAAATGGTCCTGCGAGTATAGGCAGATTTGCAGAATCTGATGAACAACCTAATACAATCACAAGCTAGAAATGAGATTCAAAGGAGGAAAGCGCATCTTAAAGCAATTGTTTCTTCAGTATCTATTCTGCCACAAAACGGAGTCTGAGTTACCCTCTTCTCAGTGTTCTTCTATCATATATACCAATGAATTATCTTTGATTTTTTTTCTATGGTTACAGTGTATAGAAAATTTATTTTTCTCAGAGTGTAAACTAACATCTTTTCTTCCTATAAAATGTTAGCAAGATACAAGCATAATACGCTGTATTAAATAATGCATTTCCTATACATATATAAATATATATATTACTATGATAACATATCACACATATTTTTAAATAACACAGTCTCTATTTCCCCCCCAACATAACAATATTAAGACAAAAGCACATATAAAACCATTTAGTCAACAAACTAAACTAGTTTTAAACGTAGATTTTGAATTAGGGAGGCCACTTGTCCAGCTGGCCCCCTTCCACCTGAGGTCCACACATACAGTAGGCTGCTGTAACGGACATGCTGCATAAAGTAAGGCGGCAGTCTCACAAATTGCTGCAGTGGCAGTGCCAGAGTAAGGACTTACTGCCCCTGCTTCTGGGGCAGCCAACTGGCTTTTTCCTATGGCTTATTGACCACTTTTAGCTGTGTTAGCTCACCTCTCTGTGCAACCACCCAATAAACAAGATCAGCGAACTCATCTCTGTTAAAAGTAACTCAGGGAAGAAAAAGCGATGGTAATTTTTAACCTGATCAGTTTATTGCACCACCACACAGCCGGTCATACCAACACAACAGAGTGAGGAGGGGGCCAGAGCAGGGGCTGGAATGCGTGTATATGAGGAGGCAGCTCCTCATGATGGTTTTGTTGTCAAAACAGTTGCTTTTGAAATTGTGGCCAATGTCACATTTGCAGCCTGTCCAGCCTGTTGAGGGAACTGCTAGGTAGGAGGTCAGAAGGCCGTTCAGATATAATTCCAAACAAATTCTTCTTCTGTAGTTATTTTCACTTTGTTGAAGAAAATGCTGTAAACACTAACATCCTGAGGTATCCTGCCCTCCAGCTGTCAGCACTCAGCTGCTAGTGTCGTAGGGGCATTTCTGTATGCCAAATCATGTGGGATTACAACAGTTGTGCATGTCAGACTTCTTTCTCTCCCCAAACCCTTATAGCAAAGATCATAAAGTGCTGTGTTAATGGATACCATATATGTTGGCCATATACCACCATACCACTGAGGTGTTTGTAGTAGGAGTGCGAGTGAACACACCACATTTTGAAAAAATCCACAGCAGAGATCTGCCTGCTCTTTATGGTCTCAGGCCTGTATAGTGAGAAGTGCTATTTAAGGACTCTGTCCATGCATTTCTATCTATTGCTCTGTTTCCTAGTATTAGGGCTATCTAGAATCAGACAATCTGAAAGACTTGGGGGAACGTAACAATTTCCTCTACACTTTTATCAGTGTGTTTACCTGTGCGCTGTCCAATACCTTATGCTTAGTGATGTTGATTGCTGCCATGGCTAGTTGATCCGCTATAACTGCTGGTTTTATGGGTCTTTTGTACAGAAATTGGATAAACATTCCTTAAGAAAGGCCCATGAAATATGATTTTATTATTTAAAAATTAGTTGAGAAGCTAAGGGACTGATGCAAAATCTCAGTTTCTAAATTCCCTAGATTTTGCATTAGTACCATCAGGTTTTTTGGTTGTTTGTAATGAGCTTTCTCTAATTTTCTAGTGAAATTCTTTACTGAAGAAGAGAAGCTTAACAGTTCTGTATTTTTTCCTTCTGCAGCAGGTAGAAATCAGTCATGGGGTGCTTCTGATGTTTTTTTCAGTTTATCATCATTAGCTAACTGCTTTATGAATGTCCCTTTGACTGTATATGTTTAACTGCTCAAGAACATTTGATAAGGCAAGCAAACAAAGCTTCATCACAATGTGCTCATAACTTAACTCTTAAGGATCTAGCTTTACACTCTGGCTCTCTCTTCCTGGTTTTCCATTAGTGAACCACATTAAGCATGCTTAGGAAGCAAACTAATTTGTTTTGCTACAAATCTGTGAGGTAGACTCTTTC